AATGTTCAGACCCCAACACCAGCTGGTAAAGCAGCTGATCCGGGGTCAGATGACCCAGAGAAATCAGGACACTTCCTTAATCCCACAGGGAAATCCCTGCCAAATAAAGTCAAAACACACAGTCTCTCGAAACAGTCAACAAATCCCTTTAACCTTCACCTTAAGGTCATTTACACATTTACACAAATCCATCACACAACAGGAGGTTTTCTTTAGTCAGTATCGGAAATCTGATACTCACACACATTGAGCAGCTTCTTTGGACCATGTTTTGGGATTTGATGCTGTATTTACCAGCCAGTGATGTACTTATGGACTATGGATTTTAGATTTCGGTCTCAATGTGGTTTCCTTTGTTCGCACTGACTTGCTGCACAATCTCCTGCCTGTGTTCCGGATTACATTTCAGACTGTGACCAGGAAATAAACCCAGCGCTTCCACAACTGGTTCCTCCCTCGTCAAACCATTACAACCATAACCTGAATTATGGCTTTGCATACAAGTATGCAAGAAGGTTATTGCGGGAATGATTGTGTTGCACATAATTCGGTGTGTAAATGCAGCTCTGTAGAAGGGACTGGGGCAGCCAATGACATGGGGGCTCATTTAAAGGGCCAGCCAATTAAAATTAATGCTTAAAAATAAACAGTGTGTGGGTCAGTGGGAAAGGTTTCTGGGTCCCGATCACCACTTTGAATCCCACACTTGAAAGAGTCACATCACAAGGCCCCTAACCCCTGTAAAAATGCCCCCTGAAAACACTGAACCCTGTGCTTTGCTCTCCCCAGTATATGTGTGTGTGTGTGTGGATTAGGTTTATATTACTTTATATTACTTTGTGGGGACCAAATGTCACCCACAATATAATGAAAACCCATTATCTTGACATTGCGGGAACCATTTTTCAGGTCCCCACAAATATCTGCGAATGCAATCAAAAAAGTAAAAATGCCAAAACTTTCATATTTTGTTTGGTTACTTATGGCTAAGATTAGGACTGAGTAGGGGTTAAGGTTGCCATGTTGGGATTGGAGTTTTCCCCAAAGAAATGAATGGAGAGTCCCCACAAAGATATAAATACAAACCTGTGTGTGTGTGTGTGTGTGTGTGTGCATGTCTCAAAGGACAGCAGGATGATCCATATGAAAAGGAACATTCCAATGCACCTGTACTGATTTTTGTACATATGGGAAATAAAGCATGATTGTTTCCATCCATCATCTCCATTTAGCTGCTAATCCTGGTGAGGACCGTGGGGCACCAGTGATTACGGAAACCTGGCTTCTATGCACGGAAAAGCTCGTTAATTAGCCTTATTGCATCGACCTCAGGATGGAATCTGATGTGTGTCGAGAGGACCGGGCGTCCCAGGGGGCCGAGACGGTGTCAGCGATGTGGAGGGAAATATTTTTTAGCACCAAGCTGTGGCCAAAAAATAGAAAAGATGACCTGAACGATAACCTGTTAGGAAAGCACAGAGCAGAGCTCGTCCTCTGAAGATCTCAAGGAGAAGAGACTCTCCACGTCTGCACTCTGTGTCCACATAACAGGCCAGCGTGACCAAACCCGTTGGCCAATCAGCACCCTGGGAATGAGGCCCCTCAGCATGTCACTGGGACGCCCTGGGGCTCAGTCGCTAATTGGCTCTTTCTGCTTGTTAGTTTATTGATCTTCCTGTAAAAGGCATCTACACAGACAACTGTCTGAGAGCCCTTCATACTGTCAGTTCTCAGAGTCTGTCTGAGGCACCGGCTACTACTTTTAACGACGTATGTGTCCGGTCTCACCCGGGGTCCTGAACTCCCCAGGGCACCATATGCCACATATCAATGAATCACATTTTACCGGCTTTCTTACAGAGACATCAGCAGATGCTGGCAGCTTTCAGAATAATAATTCATGGCAAAACATTCCGTGAAGCAACAGCCAAAGGGCTCAGACATAAATCTGGGCCGGGCCGCTTGCGGCGTCGCGCCGGACCTGGTCTGCCCACGCGGCGGGGGATCCCAGCCCAAGCCAAAGATCTGCTTCTGCTTAGGAGGCATTCAGGAAGCTCAGCACTCCTGCTGGCGCCCCCGGGGCCACACGTGCGAGGCTCCAGCCGCGGATGGAGGGCCACGGCGGAGCCGAAGCCGCGGGCAGGCCGTGAGTGTGGGGGGGTGGGCACAGCAGGGCACCAAGGGCACGATGCCAGCGTGGGCTGTCAATGGTGGGTAATGGCATGACGGTCGAAGGCCGCATAATCTGAGATGCTGACACTACATTACAAAGGGACTTTACGTTGGAGGAAGACTGGGCTTGTCTTAGCATGGACTAAACTATGGGAAAGTTTTGGGGGGGGGGACACCAGCCTTAAGGGCTACAGCCAATCAGTGTCAGTCATATTTCAGTTATTGATGGAGTGAAGTGAAAGTTGTTGTCCAGAATTTAAGAAAAACTGCAATTAACAAAAGAACCAATAAGCATTCTGATCATCTTCAGGAGTAGAACTGCCCTGAAACTCACTTAGCACTTTTCCAGGAACAGTCTATAAAGAGAGGAACAACAACAGATTGTTGAGTCTGTAAATTTTAGTCTTTTCTTGGAATCACTCCACGCATCTCACTAAACTGGAAATAATGTGAAAACAAACATCAATGTGACCCCAGAGCCTTGGTCTGACGAGCTCAGGCCAGAGCATCTGCGTTCCATGGGCCACGTGAACAACGTGGCCCCCTCCTCACGTCAAAAGCCAGAATGAAACTGAAAATGAAAAATATACATCAGAAGTTGTTTCCCTCCTGTCAAAATGACGGCAGCGTATTTGTAAGATTCCCTTTCGCTAATCCCCAGCATTCATCTGACGCTTCCTTGCACTGCGCGTACAGTGCACAAGGAAAAAATTTAAGAGGAATTCTGTTTTCACTTTATGGAGCCCCGTCTGAAGTCTTGAATCAAAGAGCACCTCAAAACTTCTGTAGACAAAATGGTTACAGCTGAATATAAACAAAAGTCTAGTCCATTAAAATAAATGAAAATGTTTCTGGTAATGAGCTTCACTGAAGCCGGCTGTCTTTTACCAATGAAACCACAGCAATGCAGGCCTTCTTGCAGCTAAAGCATGCGAGCAACACCGCAGGCTATGGTGGTGCTCTTTGACACGACACTGCAGGCTATGTCAGTGCTCTCTGATGCGACACCAAAGGCTATGATGGTGCATTCTCATGGTGCAACACCGCAGGCTACATTGGTGCTCTCTGATGCAACACCGCAGGCGATCTTGGTGCTCTCTGATGCAACACCGCAGGCGATCTTGGTGCTCTCTGATGCGACACCGCAGGCTACGTCGGTGCTCTCTGATGCGACACCGCAGGCTACGTCGGTGCTCTCTGATGACTTTACCATCTCAGTTTAGCAGAGCTTTGATAGCACATCTGTACATTCAGATGGCTGGCATCTCCACTTAGGGAGGATCATTCTGTTGTTCAGCACGTTCGCATAGAAATGGCTTATAAATTCACCCATTTCTGTTTGTTTTCGTTGTACTGTTTCAGATTGAGTCGCATATTAAAGTGTGCCGAAGCATGCATTCGAACTCAAACCAAAGTCTTATCTGCCATAGCACATTGTGTAGCTGTACAACATGAACCATTCGTTCCTCCGTGATGTAGTTACCTGGGCTATAGACCATCAGATCTCTTGCTTCTCTTTACCTAAGATATGGATTGTGGTCAAAGACAAACAGCTTCTCTGGCCGACAATGGCTGAGGGTCCAGAAAAGGGTTTCTGTCGCACATTACCTGCATCAATGGGTAGGCCTGCATCAATGGGTAGGCCTGCATCAATGAGTAGGCCTGCATCAATGAGTAGGCCTTAACTCTAAAAATCGAATCCTGCATCACATGGTATGAGCTGACAGACAGACTGGGGATATATTAAACTGTTTCGAGAACATTTGATTTCCTGACACACTGCAGATCGCGCTCCAGTCCAGTGCCGGTCTGCAAGCTGAGATATGCCTGATTAGTTCAGGCCAGCGACAGATTAGGCGATGATGGTGTGATTGGGGCACATTCCTGTTTTATGATGAATCTGCGCACCCAAATTTAGAGGGAAGTGCTTCTTTCCTTTACTAAACTAGAAACACCAAACTTAAATATGTTAAAGTACATATACAGTCGTGGAAAAAGTTAAGGGACCACTCTATATTTTTATACAAAAATGCATTTTTTAATCCTGGTTTAATCCTGGTTCTGCTGGCAGAAGGCTACACTGAGCAGCAGGTTGCTTCCAAGTTCAAAATTTCTAAGACAGAAACTTAACTTATCCTACAGTTTCTCATGAATCAGACAATCAGACATCAAGTGGCCTTCAAAAGGAATAGGAAACGTTAAGTGCAGGTGTGAGGTTCACTGCTAGGACAGTTCGTTTCAGGCTCCTAGAAGCAGGACTTAAGTCCAATAAAGCAAGGAAGAAGCCCTTCGTTCCTGAGAAACAGAGAAGAGCCAGGCTGCAGGTTGTAAAAAAAAATAGTCTTATTCACAGATGCACAGCCATAAACTGAGAAATGACTGAAAAAAAAATTGTGCTGCGGTCTCTTAATTTTTTCACGGCTGTATTCACTGATGCACCATAATGGGAGGGATTCACTTCCCAAAAAGGTGCCAAAGCTGTCGATGGGGCTCCTGATGGGGGGCAGTTCCCTGCATGCCCACCCTTCCTGACCACAAATCTGCCTCCCCCCCCCTCCGATGTAAGCAGCTTCCTCACCTGCCAGCCCAGACATCAACATCCATAATTCTACTGGACCATATTCATACCTACGCTACACACAATTCTACTTTAGAAACAGGGACTTTGTTACTTTGGACTTACTCTGCCGGCCCAGGAAGGACGGGCTCCTCCTTTCTGGTTCCGTCCTATGACCAGGTTCCCTTGCCGCTGTCACCTCTGCCTTGGACTCTGGGGGCTTTGGGCAGGGACAATGCAAAGCGCTTTGAGACAATGTAATGTCTGTATGCGCTATACAAAAATAAACTGATTGAATCGAAATCAATCATTGACTAATTTGACCGAAACAGCATAAAATTTCTACCTGTGATCAAAAATTTACATCTTAACCTAAATAGCACAATGAAAAGCTGGTTAATCCAATCAGTGCAGGATAATCGTACTAATGGTGAGTTCTGAACTTCTCAAGCAGCTACTCGAGCACTGGGAATAGTCATGTGATCACATATTCTCCTTGGGAAGCATTAGACGCTAAATATCATCATCAGGAGATTACATTTGTTTGGGTGAAGTTGGGGTGGTGTTTCTTGCTTAGTTAAGTAACTTGTCAGATTTGAGATTGTTCAGACTAAGATAAAGTCCCTTTAGCCCAGACTGGCTTAAAGCCTATAAGTTATCCAGGTAACAAAAAAAACGCTGCTTCGTGGAACGGGCCCCTGCTCAATGTTGTGCACAATCAAATTCTTTTCAATATACTTGAAATAAACTCTGATCTTTCCAGGCGTAAGTCCATATGACCCACAATCTGGGTTTATGTAACCCTCCCCCCCCCCCCACACACACACACACATGCCAGGGGAAGGAATTAAACCCACAATCCTACAGGCATGAACTTATAAAAATAACTAGCAAACCACCTTAATTCATATCTGTGCAAAACCACTTTCAGAGGAAACTTAAATTTCACATCCACATAACAGCCGCCCATTACATACAAGCTAATTGACAACAAACCCTGAAATAAACAACCGTGTTCTTGTTGTTCACACTGATTAGCCAGGTAGTTTGAATTTTGACATGGAGAGTCAACGGCGTGAATCAGACGCATCGTCATTTCCAAACTCCAAAATCAGAGCATTCAAATGACGAACACAACCGAACGTCAGCTTAAAACGGCAGAATCGGCCTCAGCACAAACAACAGGATCCATAAACATCTCAGACATTCCTGAAGACCGGCGAGAGTCTCTATAAATGCTGTGGAACGGCTGAGATATGGCAGTAAACGTTCCAGCAGGATGTGGGGGCAAACACGAGAAGTATAGAGAGAGGCCCATGAATCACGCCTCGCACGTCTCGCGCCCTTTTCACCAGTTCTCGTGAATGTGTGGAACTTTGGGGTCCTCTGTAAGCATCCCGGATGCTCGTTAATGGCATAACTGTGAACATCTGCAAGTCTGCTTCAAGGATTTCACAGCAATAAAGCAGAGCTTCACGCACCAGTGAACCAAACGTTACCAACCTCACCTTCTGCCATACATCTCATATCGACCTCTGGTGTCGAGGCTCACATTCAGGCTGTGTCCAATCTCACACCAGTGTTTAGTCTTTCATGAATTGCCTTCATCAACCCAGCTAGTGCCACTGCAATGACCCTCTGTGGTTTGTATGGGAGCTTCAGTTTAAGTCAAAATCTCTCCCATGTACAGTACCATAGGAGACCATGAGGAAAACACACATCACTGTACAGCCCCACGTGAGTAAAACATTTTTAGAGATGAGCTGATTTTTTTCAGGTCTTTTTCGTGTGCTTTTGTATGACCCCAATGTCAGAGAACTTTCAGGTCCTACAGTTTAGAAATCAGTTTATGCTGTTCTCAAAACCCTGATGTCTGGCACCTAACCTGTACTATTGGACAGACTAATCACGTGACCCAAGACACCTCCTAGAGCTCAAGACAACACAGTCGTGCTCAGTATTCAGGGCACCTGTCAATAAATCAAAACAAACACATTCGCACTCAAAGGAATGACAACCTTGGGTTAGAACAGGATAAATTGTGACCCCTTTGCTCCAACCGCAGGCTAAACGCTCTGACGAACACTTTAATTGGTGCCTGGACTCTACTGTTGAGGGTGAGAGAGCAGCTAAACGTCTCAATGTCATTCCAGCGCCGCCACGAGCTCTGGATGCTGATAACAAGCCGACTGCCAGGACGCAGCTGGAGAAATGGCATTCTTTGAATACTTTGTAACTATTACAAGCTACCGGTCCAATCTTCTGATTTAATTTCTTTTGGCACTTTCTCAAAAGACCCCATTCATACATATATCAAGCAGGTTTTGCTCAATTTCATTCCTTTTAGAGACAAATAAACAGTTTCTAAAATTACAGTATTCAGTTTGATTAAGTTTTCTTTGGTTTCTTGCAGTGGTTCAGCACTCCCATCAGTCCGGTTTAGATGTCTGGTTGCCATTTCATTTGTTTTTGCTTTGTCCGGGGAGGGGTATGTTTATGTCCAATAATTGCCTTTTACAGGATGGCAGCCGCGGTGACAAATCCTGTTGAGGCACTCGGCATCGGATAACGGGGCGGGGGGATGCGATCCCATCCAAACGGGAAATGTCACACACGCGGCTGCGGAAAATGGGCCGGGGGGGGAGCGTACCCCTTGAACTGCCTGCGAACTGCCACGTCCGTGCAGCAGGGAAAAGACTATACATCTGGGTGCTGGGGCACAGAGCGGACTTCCCTCATAAGAGCTCAAACGGAGACAGTCTGAGGCAGCCGTGTCACAAGTGGTTTTAATCCCGCATTTCCTGTGGAGAGTCTTTAGAAGTCGTAGCAAAATGGAGGGGCGGCGGGAGTAGCTAGTGTGTGGACGGGCGATTACTCTGGTGGCAGGATAAACATCCTAATTTACGGTAAACAGAACTAAAAAGAAATCCCGCTCCTTCTGACCGTGAAATTCCAAGTGCAAGAGCAACTGCTGAATTTGTGCTTTCAGTTTCAGAGGTCAGGATCAGAACTAATTAAGGTAGAAAGTGCAATATTGTCTAGATACTGAGACATAATATGAATGTTTGATATACAGTTTTCTGCTGCGATTTTACTGTATAACCTTCGTAACTTTCTTGGAGGTGCGTCTAAGTGAAATATACTGTGGTATATACTTTACCAAAGACAGTCCAAACACTTTAAAACAGTATATATACAAATGATCAACACCAAAAGGAAACGGAAACCAAAGCATTACATTCTGAATACCAAGAAACACGACTGATGCGCTGTTTAACGAATATGAATCTGATATTGCCATTAAAATAACTAATTTTTCTATTCGTGCCACGAATCGTGGACAATTATTTCCAGTACCTGCAAATAGATCAAGCTGCCGTAGACGTTAAACATATCCACATACAAAGGTATACTGGTTAGATACGAATGATACGAAAAGACTTTCTAACTTTCTCCAAGTAGGAAAATTGATATTTCAAATGTTGCATTCATGTGGCTGCTCTTCTTGAAGCATTCTTCCCGTCCTAACTTGGCATGTATGTGTTGATCTGTGTATTTCATTTTTCCTCATACCACATCTTTGTCCACCCACGAATGTAATTGATCACAATGGCTACATATTCTGCCTATATTCAATGCGGCTGAAGTGAGTGACAAATAGGGATTCTGATTAAAATGAAGGTAGTACATCACACCAATGATACCATACCAATGCATTTTTAAACACTTGTCCTTAGAGAAAATCTGCTGTTTTTCACTCAACAGAATCAATAAATCTTATTACATTCAATATCTATCGCTATTAGTTCTGCAAAGGGATTTAACGGAGTTAATGCAAGTAACTGTGCTACTGGCTCTTCGAATTTAAAGTCATTATTTACAAGGGAATTCATGCATCCGAGAGTTCATGCAAGTGCATGTTCTGCAAATTGTGTTTAACTTACCTAAAGCTGCGCGCCGCTGATTCCTCTCGCCCAGGGATGAGAGTAGGCGCACCGCGCCACTTGCCCGTATTTTAATCGCGCTCCGCGGGAGACGCTCTTACGAGCCTGGGAGGCGCGTGTAACCCGATTCCGAAAGTGCCGGTTCACAGTTGATCGCGCCTCTAACCTTCTGCCTTATTTGGATTTTCTGCTTTCTTGGTAAGAAACTGCTGCCTTTACCGTCGATACAGACCGATAGCGTAAAACCCCCGGAGATTAAGTAGTAAGGTCTGAAATCAAGCAAACCATTCGAACTTCACTATTTATCGACTGATGTTATTCATAAGCTACTGAGTCCCCCCCCCCAATACTTAGAAGTCACTAGAAACATACGACAATTTACAATTTTACATTTAATTAAATAGTGTGTTTGTATCATTTTCATGACATATAACCACTTAGACTGCCTTTACATTGTCATAGGCCTATCCAATGCGGTAGTTTAGTAATAAACACAGGCGTCGTTAGCCCCCCCGAATAAATGTGTATATTTATTGGCTTCAGTCATTAATAGTTTGCCATCAACCCCCCCCCCAACACTCCATTCATCTCTAACTACGGCACTGGTAATAACGCTTGCTAAAGTTTGTCCCTCCTTGCATATCTATATACTGTACTTAAAACAACTGAGTTTTGGGACACAAAACCCCACCCTTAATCTACCAGAAATCGTCCGCACTGAGCTCCGGTGCGGCGGTGAGCCTCGACTACGGCGGCGCCCCGTCCCGCCCAGTTCCGCCCAGCTCTAAGGGCACCTGGACCTGGGTTTGGCTCTCATTTGAAAGGGTGTCATAAGGACGAATTTAACATTTTGCAGTGCGTGTGTTGCCCCAGTGCGTGTGTTGCCCTCATCGGCACCAGCAAACTCCTACACGCTATTGGTTTTTGCGGGTTCTAGAACAAAGAAGGTATGAAGACCGTGTTTGGATTGCACTGCGTCATGCTGATGCCCTCAGCACGCCTGTTATAATGATGCTTTTTGCGATCCTTTTGCCTGTTCTGTGTTTATCCTAGATCATTACAACATCTTTGAACATTTCTTTTTCGAGGTTTGTTCTTGCTTATAAACTGAATTGTGTTTCCTTCGCTTTTTATGGACGTTTTATATGTGAACAATAACAATGTTAATGCGCTTTGAAAATAATGAAGACCAACACAGTGGCATCCCTTCCAGGGGTATTCTGGCCCTATCCTAGGAATACCCCTCCTCCCCCCCCCCAGAGGGCTGCCTGAGATAAATTGAAATCGGCTTGTTATGTCTGCATCACTTCAGAAGATGCCGCCCTTGTCCACCACCTATGTCGCATCATTGGTTGACCCTGACCAGCACTGGGACAAAAGCAGAGTAACTCGTCACATCCATGATTCCTTAAGGTCTTTGTAACATCAATGTCTCAGTCATTAGGACTCAGGTTCTGGTCCACGATAAGTTTTCTAAGCTGTTCCCCTACAGAGAAACACAGTCATACTTTCAATACCTCAGATACCGAATCACAGTGACCACCGATCTGATTCTTCTGCATTTGTGCTGCACAGTCAATTAGCTGGTCTTTATGTAAATCAGTGCCTTACAACATTCATTATGTAGTTAATTTAAAGCAGAATATCTGACGACATGCTTTTCAAATCAGTGATTCAAGTGACATTCAGACCAGAGTGCGGCAGACACTTTTGCTGGATGGTAAACTTCGGTTCGAAGAGTGATTCGTTGTTTAATTCTTTCACGAGTGAACAATTCCTTTTAAAGACCTACTGGTATGATATCTGTAAGAATTAGTGTGCTTAACGTAGCATAATGTATGTATGTGAATGTACTGTATCAAAGAAAGATTATTTTAGCTTAACAGTGAAATTGTGACTTCCTTCTCTGTCTACAGTGCACAGAATAGGGTGAGACACAAACACTCCAACCTATTGCACTATATACCACCAGATAGCTTGCTGCCATGTGCACAAGTCACGAGTGCTGGGAAATGCTGTGGATTAGATTGGCAGTGATCTGTAACAGGAGTACTTCACAGGAAATGGTGGAAATACATACAACCAAACAAAAAAAAAGGCCCAGATTGTCTAGAGAAGCCATTCATAAATAAACACCCCATCTAGTACCAGACTGGTTTGGTCTAATTCGAGTCAACAAAACCTGATATAGTTTTTGTTTTAAGAACAACCACATCATCAAATACATTTGTTAGTCTTTATGTTTTTACATCTTTGACTTTTACAAGATCATTAACTGCTCTGTCGTTGTTGATTGTCAGGGCAGTGGTTGTCATGGATGTGACTTTGGCATATCTGCTGAGTTTATCTTTGCTGGAGTGATTAGTGTCTTCCTGTCAGCCTCTGAGTGTAAACAATCTGTGTGCTTCTAGTGCTGATTAAAATGGTGAATAAGCCAAGACCCGCACATGACCTGCTGCTGAAAGATATTCTGAAGTAACCTACAATGTTTCTGTTTCCAGTGCATCTTATGTTCTGGTTCAGGGGAAATTTTAGCCATTGTTTTATAATATTGCCTTGTAGCTTGTTTATGGATTTTCTGTGATATTGACCTTTGTACATTTTGATTGCAGCTACTCAAGGAAACTAAAACATATCCGAACTGATTAAAAATCAGTTTAAAAATAACAATAAGATTGATTTTTTACAATCACAAATTATATGTGTGTATAACTATATGAATAGCATAATAAGGCATAATAAACATAATAAATAATAATAAAAAATAAAATTAGGTAAATTAGGTAAGAAGTCCTTGCGATTCAATATCTTGCGTTTCAATTAACTGGGTCGACAAAATACTGTAGTCTTCCAGATTTTAGTAACAGTGCCCTCTAGTGGTTTCAAAAAAGAATAACGCAATCAATACACGTCGAATAGCTCTGGGCGAGTAATGTTAATTTTACCATATAAATATGCCCACTTTGTCCCTTGGTTATGTGCTGAATATCATTAAATATGTATGAAAATATTAATGAGAATATTAATGTTAAATGAGAAATCTTGTTAGAACACAGAGCCAGACAGGTGGAGTGAAACATGGTAAATACTAGCCTGCATTAAAGAGTGCTACTTATATCTGTGTTTAATTGTAAATGTTTGATTTTTCCATTGTCCATTCATTTAATCCTTCCAGTCTTGTTGGAAGGAGTCTTAATTAGCTAAATCAATGAAGCAGCGATGTCGCTCCGGCGGGAATCCTGAAGGGTGGAGCCGTGCGCTGTTGTATGCTGGTACTCGTGTTTTCTAAAACAGCCTCTACGAATAACATTATTTACACGCTTAAATTTATCTTCATGGGTTGTAAAAGTCAATCAGTATTTTATTCTCCAGTCTTGGAATTTTTGCTCCCATTTAGCGTAAATATCTAACAGGCCATTAAGATTTCAGATTGTATTCGCATATCCAGCATTGCTATTTTAATCCTTTCTTCCTATTTTTTTTACTGGAAACCTGATTGGATGTTCACTCCAACAGCAGCTTATCCAATTAGGGAGAAAACATGCTAGTGTCAGAGGTGTTAATTAGTTAATGGATTCTTTCTGGCTATAGCAATATGTAATACTTAATATAATGCACTTGTCTGAATATTTCACTCAAAATGAACAGGGTTATTATTATTAATTATTATTTTTAGTAGTAACCTTAATTACAACAAGATATTTTGCATTCACTTTTCTATATTGTCATTGCTAGAAGATTTTATACAAGGGAACCTACAAGTTCTGTGCCGCAGCATGGAAGACTGTCGTCATGTTGTGAAGGTAATATGGCTAAAAATGGCTGCACAATAGATTGTGCCTGAATGTTGGTTTGGCATGTGTTGCCCCGCAAAAGACTTTGTCCTCTCTCTCTTTGTCCTGTCTGGCTGCATTGGCTGGTAGGTCTCCTCCCTGGGAGTCTGTCTCGGCCTGACGGTTGGCAGAGAACACATCTGAGTCAGAACCGACTGTCACCTGGGTGACAGTCACATGACCTGGCCTAGCATTTCTCTCCGGGCTGGGGGGGTGGGTGCAGTGCGGTCCAGTTGGAAACAGGGAGGCGTGAAAGCTGAACCGCGCGTCAACAGAAGCATTATGTTTACGCTGATTTAATTAGCAGACGCTGTTGTCCAAAGCGACGTACAATCGAGGCAGATAATCCATCACTAACATACAGCTGTCAAAGAGCAAATTAGCCGTAAGTGCGGCTGGGCGGAACTTCCAGAAAGCATCACCAGGGCCTAAAACGAGAGCTATTCTAATCAAGGCACTATGAAAATTATGTTCCTACAAAAACAAGTGCAAAAATACAAGAGCATCCAGTATAGATACCATAACCACGGGATAGCAGATGATGACAGAGCTGGTCGGTGGTTGACAGAGGCAGCTGAGGCAGATGAACAGGTGTAGTTTAATTGAAATACAGCAAAAACGGTAGAACAGTGAGCCTGTGTATCAGGGGCAAGATACAGCTCTGTGTCAGAAACAGCTTTATTTGTCCAAGTACATTCACACACTGAATGTGTCACCGGTTGTCAATGGCTGACATACATACAGTGGATACATGCACAGATGACAAGACAATGATCACATACATTTCGACTGATATATACAAAGTGGATGTGTCACTGATAAATGTATAAAAAGTGCAGGATTATATAATACATGAACATCACCAATCATCATCAATCCGATGTCTGAGGACCCCTCATATTACTCTGTAAACATAAACGTCAGATACATTTAATAAGATCTTTGTTTGATTTAACGCTATCCTATGAACTGCAAAAAGCAACAAGTGACATATGGTTTTCAAGATCACCTGTGGACTAACCATGATTGTGTATTGAATACTCTTATCTTGCACTTGCAAGCCCTTGAACAGTCTAATTACATAATTTCTTTGTTAATAGTTATGTAGCTGTGTGTAGCTTTTGAGCAGCTCTGGCACCAACACTGCTCACACTTGCACTTGGGCGCTATTGGAAGCTCAGTGTAGCCTCACTTTCGCCTGGTCGTCTCCTTGACAGCATGTCTGTTTGTAATGTGCTATTTGCACCACTTGTACGTCGCTTTGGACAAAAGCGTCTGCTAATTATGTAAATGTGAGTATGGACGGCGTTCTCGTTATAATACCGCGGAGGGCTTGAGGGACTGAGGGACTGAGGCAGGCGATCAGGCTCAGCAGTGGCACAGGGTCCGGCAGGCCAGCACAGCACAGCGCGCCCAAAATAGGCCTTTTGCACGCAGCCTGCGCTTCGGTGGAGAGACACATGCGCGGGCGGCGAACTGCCA